ACCCGCCGCCCGCTCCGCGCCTGCTCCGGGGCCTGCGTGCGCCCGGGCTGCCCCTGCCCCGCGGCCCGGCCGCGCTTCCCGGCAGCGCTGGGGGGCTGGAAGGCGGCTTTGGGGGAAGCCTGTGCTGTCTCACGGAATCGTGCTGCTTCGGAGGTTTTGGGGGCTTTTTTCGTGTCATCACGTGCATGGCCCGGCCCTGGGAGTCAAGAACAAGCCCCTTCACACGCTGCGTGGTCCGTTTCCCTTCTCACCCTGAAAAACTCCCAAAAAGCAGAGCTCAAGCTGTCTTTTTTTCGCTTTTAGACAGGTTTCCACACACAAAAAAAGTAGTGCTCAGGTTTTGGCTTCTGCATAGCATGTGGAATTGTATAAAATGAAAGCGTTAATGTTTTTTTGAGACACAAGCCGAGGTGCCCTTGGCTCTGGGCAGCTGAGGGGTCAGTTCTGCGCTCTCCGTGAGAAGTGTTTTATTTAGCTGTCAAAAGGACTGATCATGGCTCAGTTTTATATAGCTCTGATTAAGGTGACAGTGGTGAAGGTATCCTCTAGAAGCCACCTCTAATGCTTTCCTTTACAAAGGAATGAAAACTAGGGAAATAAAGCAGTGAAAGCAAATGTATGCTGGATCTCTCTAGAAAACTATGAGCTGGGAAGGCAGACCAGCTTTGTATATTCAGGCCTTTAGTCTGAAGCTCAGGAGCATGCACTTCCCTGCCAAATGTTTGTCAGTCACACCTTATACCTTTGGCACGGGTACAAATAATAATAAACTGGTACAAATAATAGTGAACCTTGTGATAAAATAATTAGCCAGAAATAAAATAATACAATGTCCCGAAACCCCTTCATCTCAGATGGTCAGTTCCACTTACCCTCATTGCAGAAAAAGTTGGCTGTGAATCCTGATGTAAGGATTTTGCCACACGTTAAGTCTTGCCAGTCATTAAGAAAACCTTTATACTTTGAATCAGCCCTTAGTTTTGGAAAGGAAGGATGAGAGGTAATTTCTGCCAAAGTTTGTTTAGATAAACGTATGTAGAAATTGACATTAAAACAATTGAAATAAAGCACATTTCTGATGTTTGTATTAAAATGTTGCTATTTAAACAGGTGAGGGGTTAAATTTAAACAATATTATGCAGTTTGGATAAGGTAAAATACTGTAGTCCATGAACGTCAGAAAATTACTGAAAGTATCAAATAAATATTTTACTTTGCTAAGCTGAACAAAGCGTATTTTAAAAAGGCATTAATGGTGAAATAGATTTTAGGCACTCTCATAATACATATAGTTTATACTATAAGTAAAAATTTAAAAACATATTAAAATCCTTCAAAATTACATCCTAATGTTCTCAATTTCAGGGTTCTTTTATGGTCATTTGAGGTTACCCTAGAATTCTGGTTATTAACTTTCAAAATCTGAATTCATCTAAAAGAAAACTCCAGATTTACTCAAAAGCACACAAGTCAATAGCATTTTTACTAGATCTTCATTGCAGGCAATGAGATGTGGTAGAAAATATTCACTTTTTCATTTAGATTAGCCTGGGTATTTCCACAGTGCTTCTCTCTCATATTCAGGCTCCTTGAACTCACTCCCCCAGCCTCAGCCACACCATCCCAGCAGGACACCCTGAGCCCATCATTGCTTCTGTGCTGCTGTTTATCTTTTTGCGTTATCAGCTTGTGGAGTTAAAATGCCCAAAAACTTAACCCCACCAAAAAATAATATATAAATAGATATATAGATTAATAAATAAATACAAGTCATCAGCAAACAGCATCTGGGGACCACTGGGGTGAGAAGAACAATTAGCAGGGCAAGGAAGCCCGTGGGTGCACAAGTTGAAATACAGTTCAGGTACCATGGAACCGCTACCTCACGTTACAACATTCTTGGAAAGAAGATGAACCATCAGGGCTTTTTTAACTCTGTAGTTTCTTAAAAATTATTATTTTGGACCCCCATTTCAGTGTGAATTATCATCGGAATCTCACCGCACTGAAATTCTTGTTTTCAAAACTAAAGGAAAGAATTTGGATTTGATTATGCCTCCCAGGGGACGCAGATGGATGGTGTTTTCCAGCTTCTGTGTCCAAGGAAAAATAGATGATAGCCCTGTAATAGCTACACCTCTAGTGAGGAGAAAAACAATTTAAAATTCTATCTGGAGCATCTATGAGATTTAGACAGACTTCAGTAATCTGGCTGTGCAAATGTAGCTGCTGTTGTCTGTTTAAGCCTTGAAACTTAGCATGCAGTTTCCAGTGCTCACTTTTCTTTGTTAAGAAAGGAATAGAAAATACGGCATCCAGGAATGTTGCTTTTGTAGAAGCTGTAACCCTCTTCCAGGCAAAGCTCCTTCCATTCTATGACCCTGCAGACTCTTTTTTGCAATAGTTTATTTTTTTAATTGTTATTATTTTCAGAGTTAAAAAAAAACCTTTTTTTTTTTTCTTTTTACAACAAAAGAGAAAAGTAGATATTTCCCATCCTATGCTGCATTAGAAATGCAGAAGGATGTTCTGTCTGGAGACTGGGATCCTGCTGTTGACTAGTAGGTCATTCCAGTAACTAAGGCAACAAAAGCCTCTGTTCTGCTTAGAGGAAATGGGGGAGCTGGCCTGACATGATCTGTAGGTGGATCATATTTTGTTTTCTCTGAAGAACTCCATCCCACCCACTTCATGAACAGAGAACGCCCAGACGCTTCCTGTTTGGGTCTCTCTGAGCACTAAACTAGCACTAAATAATAAACTCATAAAGGGAATTAGGGCAGGTTGAAATTGGGATGGGCAATATAGTCTTCCTTGGAAGTCATTCACAGCAAGCTGAATTGTATCCAGAGCAGAGCTGGGCTTAGTATGCACTATTTGCATACCAGTATCTTTGAATATAGAAGCACTTCAAATTAGTACGTTGTGATGAGCAAATGCCAGATTTTTTTTGCATCACTACTCCAGGTATTCAACACCTGTATTCCAGGTTGGCAACAGGTATCATTAAGGCAGCAATAGATGCAGCAGTGTTGTTACAAAACTGGTGTTACAAAATATTTGTAACATCGGCTTTGCCACTGATAAACCCTACACTGCACAGTTTATTTCTTGTAATATATAATCTATATGTATTAATACACAACTGTTAGTAACAACAGCGTACTGACTCCACAAACCTGAAGACAGGGTTATTCTGCATATTAATCAATGTCATGCCATGCACTTAGCCACTTACTGCTAACTTTTGGACTGCTAACCATAGCACAGTGCTCATATATGCATCATTCAAATTTTATTCAGTAAAACTTGTTAGCAAAATCAATTTATTTGAGTGTTGCCAAGGTGTCCAAAGAAAATAATACACTCTTCATGCAGACTGTCAAGAAAACTTACTGTGATGAATGTACTTACAAGTCTTAAAACTTTATTCCCTGTTTCTTTGTTATTAACATCTATTACTGATCTTATAGAAGGTTATTTTTTGCATTCACCACAGGAATCATTTGCATCTTAGACTCTGGTCTCCCACTTAGGTGTGTCAGATGCTGACTTTGTGCTGGAAAATGGGTGGTCAGCAGTACCCTCTCCCACCTTACTTCTGACACGCTTCCTCCACCATTTATCTCACCATGGCACAGAGCCTGACAGGATTTATCCATGAGTTATTTATCTCACAAACTCACGTAACAAGAAATTAAGCTGGAAAAGATAGAGTTTTACATTTTTCTACTGCTCTCATAAGCCACATGGCTTATGAGATGATCCAGGGAGTGCTGGAGTTGGCATGAAAGCCCAGGAGAGAAAGGGCAAGACCACACAGCTATAAACCAGAAACAGGAGAATGAAGTGGAAACAGGACTTCTTCATTTCAGGAGCAGCAAGTTATTAGATAACTGAACAACTCACAGAGTCACCACCTCCTGCGCATTTACCAAAAATACGGCTGCAGCAAGCTATTGTGTGTCAACATGCAACTACATCCAAACAGTAGATGCTTCCATTACATCATCAGCACTTCAGTAACTGCCTTTCTCAATCTTTTTTTTTTTTTTTTTTTTTCAATAGCCCAGAATTTACTGCATCCCCATTCCTTTTGTAGGGCTTCCCTCTTTCCTGCTTCTCAGCAACATTTCCAGACCAAGGCCAGCAGTACACTGGCACAAACTCCTTCCCACTTTTCTTCATGATCTAGTCTCTAGCAGGATGGAAGCTTCTCATTTTATTTGCCTGTTCACATAATTGTGTGTTATGGATAGGTTTTAGCTGGACAGGAAGTGTCCCTGGTACTCCACGTTCTAGCTGCCACATAGGCATGAGGTTATGGGACATCTTCTGAAAGGAGAGGAAGATGGTCCTCTCCATGGGATCTACAAGGGACTGTTGGGCTGCAAGTAAGCCAGGAGAGGATAGTCAAAAAGGTGTAGCACATAAAAGATGTAGCATGAGATGAAGAGGTGCCTAATCAAGAAGAGGACAACAGTGACTGGAGGAGGGTGCTTCTTCTGCAGACGACCTTTGCAAAGGTTGCTGCAACCTAGGAAACCAGCAGAAATTGTAAGGTCTGAAAGTAATGCTTGACCGTGTTAGGACACAGTGAGCAGCAGGGGAATTGACACTCATGCTCTGTGTTATTAGTCATCAACCAGCAAAAAACTCAGTTTTCTGTATTTCAGAGGTACTTTGGTTTGGTTTCTATTCTAATAAAACTATGCTAGAGACAGAAAAGCCTCTTTTGTTGTTGCTACCCTGGCTGCAAGGAAGGCTGGCAAAGAGGTTCACCCTGAAGTTCTGACTGATTTGGGGGAGTCAGTCACAAGCAGAAAGCCTTCTAACATGTTTGCATGTTAGCCTTCTCGAACTGTATGGCAAGAAGTTTCCAAGAGGGCCTAAGTAGTGGTTTCAGCCCTACTCCCACTTCCAGCTGCACATTGTACACTCTTACTACTTGCTTTGTGCAAGCACTGGTGGTCTTTTGCCACTGAGCAATTTTAACATGATCCATCAGCAGGAAATAGCCCAACAAAACAAAATGCTACAACTGGCTTGAGTTGTTCTGGACTTAAGTAAAGACACACATTCACAACAGAAAAGATGATCAGGAAGATGTGATAATCTAGATTCTACCCATGCTGAGGAAAGCTTGGGGATTTCAGAACAAGCTTATCGTGGTATCTCATGCCTAAG